TCCCTTACAAAACTAAAGCCAGAGACCAAACCCGAGAGCAAGTGTGCAAATTCCATTAAAAGAACATTTACAAATTTGGCAAAGATCAGCCGGCAACAGCAAACAGCAATGGCAACAGGCAACAAAAGCAACACTGCCAACACCAGCGCAACTGCCACAAAAAAAAGAGTCCTCTCTAAACTAGCGCGACACCTCCGAATGGGGGCTAAGATCGAAAGACCTTGAGCACTCCACATATCAGAGACATTGGCTTTTGCTTTGCCTCTAAAAATAATGCCAGACAAACTGCAACAAACAACCCACAGAGTGCTGCAACCACTACTGCTGCTGCTGCCACTGCTACAACAATGCAGTGCAACAGCAACAACAAGAACAAGGAGAACTTTTGTCTCCAACAGCGTTTTCCCTAACAACCCGAAGGTGATAAATAAAATTCTTTATATGCAATCTTTTAATGCAATTTACAATAAAATCAACATGGAGTTTAGTTGCTGGCGGTTGTCGGTTCTTGCCTGCCACACGGCGGCTCTCTCGATTCTCTCGGACAGCAGCTTCTTCCTTTTGGGCCCTCGCTAAATAACAAGGGGGCACAGCTTGATTTGACATTAGCACAATCCCACAGATCACCTTCCCAAAATGGATTTTGCCGCCGTCGTTCGTCGTCGCCATCATTCCCGGCCACTGCCGACTGCCTACTGCCGTAGCCCTCGCTGCCTGAACTTTTGTGTGTGCAGCAGCCAACAGCAAGAAACGGAGAAACGGAAATGGAGGCCCAGAGAACGCGATGATCATTGCGACCGGGCAATAAATACAGCATAGAAATGATGTACGGAAAACGATCGCAGCTGAAGCAGCAGATTCAGCTTCAGCTTCAACTTCAGCGTCAGCTTTAGCCACAGCTTCAGTTCCAGAAAGATCCTAGCTCTGCTGCCAGACAGACCCAAAGACCCATGAAGACCCCCAGAGCCAATACACACACACACACACACACACACACACACACCTCCTCTAGCCAGCAGCTCGACGGGGGTGCCTGGGTGCCGGCGATGACGCTGATGACGGCACAGTGGTACCATTACAATGAGTAATTGATAGAGGCATTAAGCATTGAGCCCTTTACAGAAAACATCTATTCCTCAGTGGGCAATTAGTTGGCAAAAGAATAGCATTCTTATTCCAAAAAAAAACCCCGCAGATTTGTATTCTTTTAGTCGGTGGATTCTTATTTTATGTGGGAATCTGTGTAATAACTTTGCAACTATGAAATGTTCTCCGAAAGAAGTCTACAATTTAATTGATAATAGTTTTGGCACAGTTTTATTCCGAATAGAATAGTTTAACACCCAGTTTGATGTAAATTTACTCCGAAAGACTCCAAATTTCCTACAAAAAGTTCAGAATTCACGTCAGATAACACAGAATTCAATTTAAATATATTCCTAATACTCCGAATTTAGTCCGAAAAAGTACGAAAGAATTGCGATGCTGCTTAAGATACAGGTGGATTTAATTTAAATTTACTCAGTAATCACTCCGAATTTACATCCAAATCACTCCGAACTTACTCCGGAGTGAACTGAATTTAACAGAACTGAAGTGTTTATTTATTTGCCACCCTCACACCCACTGTGTCTGCAAAGAGTCTGGCAGCTGCCTAGATGCGGATGCTCGGGGCTGCCGCTGCCGCTGATGCTCGTTTGGGCTACCACTTTGCGTCTGGGGCTGCCGCTCCGCTTTACTGATGGTTTTGCTGCCTGCCACTGCCGCACTATGCTGCTGCTGCTGCTGCTGCTGCTGACGCTGGCAAGGCTGGCGCGGCATTATTAATGATAAATGTGGCTTGCACTCATGATAAATACAGAGAATCGTTGAAAGGTATAAATCAATAATAGAGAAGTTTGTTTGCAGTTAGGAGGCGCAGGATGGAGCCGTGATTTTCCAGGGGAAAGGAGCACGGAGAACAGGGAAGAGCTAACCAGGGAACCAAGGAACCCAGCCTGCAGACAATGAGTATGCCAAAACATAATTCAAGTTAAAGGTAAAGGTCTTCGTGTGGAAGCTGGCACCGGGATCTGATTAGCGGCCCAGGAGGAGACCTCGTGGCTGCTGCTGCTGCTGCTTTTGCTGCTGCAACTGCAATTGCAATTGGATGCGCCTGTCCCGCGATTCGAACTGTCGGGTACTTCTGCTGTTTCCTCTGCTGAATGCTTCAGCGACTGCTGCTCCACAAAATCATGTTCATTAATTGACTAATTAATCGATGGCTGTATGGTTGTATGTCTGGGGTCCAACTGCATCAAACAGAGACATAACAGGGTATGGCAGCGCGATTATCAATAACAATTAGCCGACGCCCGAGACCATTACTTTTGCGCCTGGGACTGGGACTGGGACTGGGGGGACCCATCGATGGTCTGTCAAATAAATGTGCGCCCCTGTCTGTAGATCTCCATTTTGCAACGGCAACGGCAACGGCGACGCTAACTGCAACTGCAAGTTGCATTTGAATGCACGAGTTACGCATCCATCAAATGTCAATTGTTTGTCTTGGCTTGGCGCTCTGCCTTCGTCGTCGTCGTCGTAGTCGGAGAGTCTTCTTTCACAGACAGCATCAGCATCTCTCCATCTCCCCCTTCGAGCGAACAGCTTTGGCGCATTTCTCATAAATCATTCGAAAGGCTCTCTGGCGGGCATTGCATCAGCGACAACGTCCACGATGTCTTGTCAGAAGGAGCTCGCTCCTCCTTCTTCATCTGCGATGCCCATCCATGGCATCGAACTTGTCTAGCACCGAAGGCCCAGCCTCAGCCCCAGCCCCAGCCCGGCCGGGGGTGAGTGAGTGTTCTGCGACAAGCCACGTCTTGAATTAGTTGGCAGTCGAAAGGCATTAGGGATAAGGAATGCCCAGAGAGCAAAGGAGAAGGCTTTAGAATCTAAAGTTTTAATTTTGAATAAAAGTTGAGAGCGAGAGTACAAAGTGGAATATGTCTCTCTCCCTGTTCTGTTCTGAATTGTTCTGCTCTGCGGCACTTTGTTCCCATTTAAGTTATTAATAGAGGCGAACATTCCCGTTGCTGCTCCTCTTTAACGCTTGCCCCTTTCTCTTTGACCTTAGCACTAGCTCTATGGAGAGAGAGAGAGAGATTCTATATGTAATTGCGTATTCCATGAAGTTGAAGCTAACTTTTGCCACAACACTCGTAAAACAGGTGCACCCTAGGGGAGGTCTGTGCCACTACACCCGCTCTCCCAGTCTAACTCCGACTCCCCACTCCCATTCCAATCTGTTCGACAGCGCAGACCTGTCTGACCCCCGGCTTTGACCGACCGCCGCCTCTGAACCGTTAATGGTGGCTGGCGATTTTAGTTATGGGCCACCACCAGCTGGGAGTTGACCAGGCGCCGCCAGTTACCGTTCCTTGTCCGTGCTGTGTCCTTTGTGCCCCCGTTGATAATTTAAAGCCAACGACCTGCAAGGATTAAAGGCAACATTTTCTCCACTCCACGCCACTCCACTCCAGTCCAGTTCACTCTTCATGCTTTTGGCAACATGAATATTCATTTCAATTGTGGCAACTGCAACATCAGCAGCGGCTTATGGTACTTTCTTTCACCCCAAAAAGAGTTGATGGTGCCACTGCCACTGCCACTGCAACTGCTGCTTGCTGCCTGCTGCCTGCTGACTGGTGGGGGGACAACGACCCACATAAATCATTCACAATTAGATGCGGACGCAACTGCGGCATCGGCTTAAACACCTGACCGACTTGCCTCCGAAACATTCCCCGAGTGGCATGGCATTGGAGTTCATTGCTTGAGTTTCACTCAAAACCAAAACATTTACCCGGCATTTCAATTCCAACCGACAAACCCGTAAACGGGGAATGCTTCAGCCTCAAAAAACACTCACAACATAAACGCAAATGAGTGAGTGTCCGCATATGAGTGAATAACTCAAACGAATGAGTGTTCCAGTTGCCATTACGTTCCGTCGTGGCATTTTTGTGGCATCCACGAACCTGTTCCCAGTGCGTGGCCATTCGTACTTGAGACCGCGAAGACGTTGCCAACCGAAAGCGGACCGAAACGTATTTGATACCAAAAAAAAAGGAAAGAAAAAAAATAGTAGAAACACAACAACGAAAGATACAAAAAAAAAAAAAAAAAAAACAGCAACAACAACAAAAACAAAAATACTCGTAATTTGAGAAAAATGCATCTGATGGATATGGATATGGTATATAGTTCTACACGATCTATTCGATAATATAGTACGGCGGCGTGTTTATGTGGTTTTTGGTGTGTGCATTGTGATCGATCGGTTCGGTTCAATCGGTTTTGTTTGTTGATCTCTTCGTGTGGCGCAGTTCGATTCCGAGTTACCGAAACGCCAGATTTACTGTGAATTTCGCGTTAATTGAGCTGTACGTACAGCTGTAGTACAAATTTGCATAACCAGAGAGTGCGACAGAGAAGTAGGCATATCCAGAGAGAGAGAGAGAGAGAGGGAAAGACATTCTGCGAGAGAGAGAGAGAGAGAGGAGCAAGCCATAAACAAATCTCGCTTGAGCGTCTTGGTTCACTGATTTAATGCCACAAACAGATTGCAGATTGTAACCTGCAGCCGCGCCCCTGCACCATCTAGAGCCAGCAGCCGCCACCAGCCCCAGCACTGACTCCATCTGCAGCCACCAGCCAGCCAGCCAGCCAGCCAGCCACCACCTTCCACCTCCACCTCGAACTCCTGCCGCTGCCGCTGCCACTGCCACACTGCCGCTTCTTGGTCAACCTGCTTGCTTGGAAGCTTGTTTCTGCGGAAGAGCAGCCGCCGCGCCGGTGGAGCGCCAGACCCGGCACAAAAAAAAAGGAGGAGAGGAATACAACAAAAAACAAAAAAAACATACAACTTTGCTGTTTGTCGTCGTCGTCGTCGTCGCGTCTCTTGGCCAACGTCTTCGTCTTTGGCCGAAAGAATTTTCTTAAAAAAATACAACAACAACAACAACAACGCGCCAAGATTTACAACGCGCGGAACCCAAAGGCACAAAAAGTGTAAAAGGCAAAGCAAATGCAGCAGAAGAAAAAAAATTAGCGCATAGTGAAGTGTATCTCCCAGTGTGTGCGAGTGTGTGTGCGAGTGCATATATCTCTCTATGTGTGTACGAGTGTTGCAGCTAAAAGAAAAAGTTTGAAAAGTGTCAAGCAGCAGCACAGCAACAGCAGCAGCCCGGAAAGCGGCAAGCGGCACGGCACTCCGGCTCTCGCTCTATTCGGTTCGGCCAATAACCCAAACGACATTTTGTGGCAGGCATGCAATGCGGCGTGGCGACCCCAACGGGCCAGCCTGCGAGTTAATTACCGTTATCCTTGCACAGCAACAACAGCAACAACAGCACAAGCAACAACACAAACAACAACTAAACGGTACTCAAGTTGTGGATTACGATTACGTCCCGCTGTCGTCCCGCTGTGTGAAAGGACAACGACAACCACCACATCGACAACGACATCCCCATCCGCATCTGCACCAGCCCCAGCCCCAGCTCCAGCTCCAGCCCCATCCCATACGCAGACAAGGCCAAGTCGTCGTCGTAGTCGTCAAGCAAACATTCCAATCGGAAACGGGCTAATTGGCACACTGCGAATCTCAAAACGAGGTGAGTTCTAAGAGTTACAATCGAACGATGGCTGGGCGGGGATTATTTAAGGTACGCGCACGGGGAGAGAGTCAGCATAGGGAAGGAGGGAGTTCACTGATCAGTCTTTCAAGGCAACTCTCATCCGACATTTGAAAGCCTCAATTGCTGCTACGCTTTCACTTCGATGTATTCGCTGCAACATGCGGCAGGCGGCATATCGATATCTAATTACATTTCGTATTGTTTTAACAACAAATTCTAAAACAATTCAAAACGTGTGTTGGTTCATTTAAGTATAGAAAATTTAAAAATGCTACAATAATTATATCAAACATCAAACATGTCTACTTCGGCTGGCGTGATTATCCTGGTACGGGAATAGATGGATTTGGATATATGAATTTGGATATGCAGGAGGCTGCTGAATGGGTGATTTTTATTTTCGGGACACGACTGAGCTCTCGGCCACGATCTCATATGTGCCATTGGACTGGGAGCTCTGGCTGCTGATCACAATATCTCCATTCGAGATGGGGGTCTGCTTGACATCGTCAAGGGTGCCCATTGTGCCCTGGCCAGTTTTGCTCTCAGACGTCAGTCCAGGTACATTGGACTGGGCACTGGCTTTCGGTCTGGTAATGTTCACTGTCGAAGTGTTTATTGATATGCTGTTCCAAGATTGATTTGGCTGCTGAACAGGACGCATCGTAGGTCCCGGTACAGGTGGATATTGTGATTGTGGTCTGACTATAGGTGGAGGCGCGGGTTTTAATGGAATAGAGTTTGCAAGTGGTTTCCGTGTCGGCTTCCCCACAGTGTCAGTGGAATCGAAATGTTGCGAAATCGCCCCCATACAAAAGATGAGCTGCAGCCAAAGGAGCAGAAACCTCTTCATTTCGTCTTATTCTGCTGCCTGGTCGAGAATCTCTAAACCCTTTCTAAAAGGTCGCCTGACATTTGCATGCCTCGATTGCCACGCTCCGCTTCGCTGTGCCTCGCTTTCATATATTGAAAATTTTACGGATCGATGAGGATATCTAATCTATTTAGCATAACGCAACCGATTATCCACCACATAATGGTAGCGACTCCCGAGGAACCGTCAATGGCTTTGATCTCTGCTCCCCTGCATGTGTGTGTGTGTGTCGGAGCCACATGAAAGCTCGAGGCGGCGGCGGCCAATTCCAGGGAAGTCCACTTAAGCAGACCGACCATCGAAAAATTTCCACATGTGCAGCCACAGACACTGACATGGAGAGAGCACTTCAATCCACACTGTAGACTGCATGACTCCTAGATGTGGATGCAAGTCTTTGAGTCTCTCTCTGTCTCTCTCTTGCTCTCACTCTGCTTGTCTCTCAATTTTCCATTAGACAGAAAGCTGGTTCTGGGTTCTGTGTCTCTGTGTCTCTGTGTCTCCGTCTGTGGCTCGTGGAAAAAAGTGAATTTATGTCGAGCCGCTAAACAATTGATGCTGAAAAATGATGGCAATGACAAAGTGATTACTGCCTGCCATAGAAAGCGAACGAAACGATTCCGAAACGGGACTTGGAATGGTGGAACTCTTGCAACTTGGTAGCGGTGTGGGGTGGGGGGCAACAACTCGTACAAGCGTACAATCGAAGTTCAAGTTGAAAAATAACATTTTCAATTTTCAATTGAGGCGATAACTCCACACAGTTTGTAGATACTCGTAGTTGTTGTTGTTGCTGTGGTTTCCAGAGAGGGACAGAGGATGGGGGGGATAGAGCCTCTGTGGCAGCCGCCAGACGCTTCTGAGGGAAAAGTGAAATGCCCGTTGCAGACAAAAAAAAAAGTGAGGGATTTCATCATTAATCATTTAGTTTGTTGTTTTTACCAGGCAACTGAAAATCTACCTATTTATATGCCTTGCCATATAATCGTACAAATGTAAATACATACATATGTATACATACATATGTACATATATATGTATACTCGTAATCGACTTGACTTTCAGGCATTACCTTCATTTTTTTTGTTTGTGTTCTCGAGCACTGAGGTAACTGGGCACGTTCTTCTTGATTTGAATCTTTCTTTTGCTACTCCTCCTGCTCCCTCCTCCTTCTCCCCACTCTCCCCTTTCTCTGTTTGATATTTTGTAAATTGCTCATCGTCATGCTTTTATGATTTGGTATTTATTTTCTGTTGGTATTTTTGGGAGAATTTGATGCGCTCTTCTTGATAAGCTCAAAAAGCGCCCTGTGCTCCTCCACCTCACCTCGTCTCATGCATTGCCACAACTGATTGTTGTACCTTTTGCTGCCGTGTCTGTGTGTCGGTGTGTGTGTGTAGGTGTGTCGACCGCCAGCCCATCTCCAAAATAACAAGAACTTCAGATACAAAAAGTATCTGCATCTACACAGTGTATCAACAGAACAGAACATTTTTGTTTTGTTTTTTTTGTTGTTTGTGTTGTTTGCCTTTAAAGCATCAAAATGTACAAAGTTTTTGGAAATCAAACTTAGAGAAATTTTCTATGGCAGTGGCTTATTTTTGTATGCTCTTTTATTGTAGAGATATGGCTGGAATATATATATAGGCAGATACTCGTATATATTAGAAAGAGCAAACTTGCAAATGTGGAAACCATATGCATTTTATTGTAGGTAAACTCTTCGGATTGAGATGTTTTACTTGCCAGCAGTTCTTCTGCTCTTTTCTCTGCGATATATTCTCTTCAATTAAAGGGCCACATCCCCTCTACAGAATAACATCCTCAATCCCTGGCTAGGGTATTCAAAACTTAACCTGAAAAACAAACTTTTTCTTAACATCGGGAAATGCTGGCGCATCAAACTTTTTAACGAGAGATTCAGCCAGCCCCCACCGCCATTCCGTGGTACAACCCCTCCTGCAGAACAGTGCCACACCTCCCCATTCTTAGCCCCCTTGTTGCAATAATTTCATTTGGGTGTACAGTTTATTATATAATTTTTGTCCCTTTTTGACTTTTATCTTGCGTTTATTATGCCCCATGGAATTTGCCGATTTCCAGACGCTGCCCAACGACATCGCCATCCCCCGCCCCGAAAGGAGGTCAATGTCTTCCACCACGACCACCACCAACCCCCCCCTCGAGACACACTCGAAGACAACGCAGCACATCCTTCTATGGCTTAGTCCTGAGTCCTTCCCCCTCTCTGGATGTATCCCTCGCCCTTCCCTGGGCATCTTTAAGAGTTGTAATAACTTTTGCACAACTTTTTGCTTATACATTTTGTTAGCCCTCCCCTGATGTCTCTCTTCTCGGCTCTCCCTTGCTATATCGCTGTTATATCTTTCTCTCTGTTCCAGCAGCTGGGCTGACAGGGGAGGGGCGGGGGAAGGCGTGTGGCAAAGTGCTAAAATGCCTTGACGCATTCTTTTGCACTTCTTCCTTCGAGCAGCTGTCCAAATGTCAGACTCACTTCCCCATTCCCATGAATAGATCCATTCCTATAGCCATGTTACATCCTTGCCACCTCCCCCTCCTCACCCATCACCTTCCTTCACGGCTCCACAGAAAACGAACACGAAACGTTGACTTGTAATAATCATAATCGTAAATTTGCAAAAAGCCTGCCCCAGAGCCGAGGCTCCCGTGTCCTCCCGTGTGTCCTGTGCGTCCTGTGGCTGAAACAAGAAATAAAGAAAAAGCTAGCAAGAAGTAGGAGGACTCCGACTCCTTGGGGGCCGTTTAGCATTTGGCGCGGCTCTTGGAAATGCCCCAAGATGGGGCGTGGTCGCCTGGGCGTAGGCCGTGCCATGCTGTGAGCCTCGCGTCGTCGTGTTTGTAGGCGTCATCATCATTATTATGGCCTGTTTTATTTATTTTCTTCTCTTTTGGCATAACAAGTGCGTGGGGCAGCAGCAGAAGGAGCAGCCGGCGGAGCAGGGGGAGAGCTGTCCATCGTCTCCCGTTGGAGAAAGGCATTTAAAAAGTTTTCTAAACTTCATTTTGAAGTTTTATTACCAGCGCGAAATAAAACGCAAAGCATTTTCTTCCTTTTCCTACTTTCCTCTCGTGAGTTTTTCTTTTTCTTTACGCTTTGGTTTTTTTTTTTTTTTTTTTTTTTTTTTGTTGTCAGGGTTTGCGTGGAAATTTGCTCTATTAAAATTCCAAGACACAGTTATGCCGTGGCAGGCAGTCCTAGTCCGTCGTTTTTATAGAAGCGGAGCTCCTCCTTCAGTGCACCAGATGCCACGGATGCCACACTCTTCTGTGCTGCTGCAGCAAGCGGTTGGCAGTGGGCGGAGTGGGGGTTGTGGAAAATTGGTAGTGGAGGAGCCATCAGTTATGCAGGTTGCCACGATGCAGAGGCTTTCTATCTCTCTCTCTTTTGCCATGCTTCTTTCCTTGCTATCCTTCTTCAGTGCTTATCCTTGCTGGCGGCTTAGCAGTTTTGTAGGATTCATTCAAGGAAAAGCCAGCCAGCCAGCAGCTGCAGCAGCAGCAGCAGGGACCTCCAGGGTAAGTCTTAGTTATGTGCGACTGGCATTTATCCTGCGATAATAGTAAGTTGTGCAAGAAAGCCCATCAGGACCGTCTACTACAGAGAGTAAATGGGGGGGTTACAAGTGGGGCACAAATGGGTTGCAGGGAGGTGTACAAATGGCTTCCAGAGTGGGGTTCAAATGGTTTGCAGAGATATTAGAGCAAAAGTAATTGGGATTGTCATGTGATTATGGTTCAGAGAATATTGATCTAGTTTACTGCTGCTGCTGCTCATCTTTAATGCATTTCTTTCCTTATGCTAGTGGCATAAGTCCCCCCTCCTGTCTACGCCCATGTCCTGTGTGCTTTCTTTGTGGCATATGCTGCTGCTGCTGGTGGTGGTGCTGCTGCTGCTGTCCCTGTAAATTCAACATTTTCCTATCGCATTCAAACAAGTCACAAGGAAAGGCCCTCCCCCCCATATTCCACCCCATTCCATCACATAATCTTTCCAAAAGGATGTTCCTTGAATCCTCTACCAAAATAGCCTTAACCCGTTTCTTTTCCTCTTCCCCGGCAC